CGGAAACCAAATAACCACAGTATCTTATAACAACAACACCTGAAGTGGTAATGTCATGCATGCTTATCAGTTATATGAAGGCAAAGAAACAACTTTAAGGAACTACAACCACTCTTTCAATGTAAAAGTTATCATACATGGGCTGTAGTATTCTCATCAGCAATAATTCCTTTCCGTAGATTCCTCGCTATTAGATCCTTTTGATTTATTCGAGTAGTTTCAACTCCATCAATTTTTGAATCAACCTTGCAGTTAGCGACAGACACATCCTTCATGACTCTAATACTCAAGTCACCTACTCTCTCGGTGAAATGAATACCTTTTTCTGTACGAGAAATGTGTACATCAGACTCTCCCATTACATGTTTAACAGCCTTAATAGCTCTAAAAATGGAAACATCAACAAATAAGGCGTGGAGAAGGAATGCTTTTCTATCACGAATTTGCCTTTCTTCTGTTGTCTTGCAAGGCATAAATGAAATAAATGAAAACTCCTTGGCCCAAGGAATCAAAATCATTGTAAGCATGTGAAAAACTTTCGGGAAAAGGAAGTCTTTTCTGTTTTCACAACATTCATTCAGACTATATGGTATACAATGATGACCTTTGATTAAAAAGATAGTCTAAACGAACATGCCAAATATTGTTTTGGTTACCTTCCAAAAAAATCAAGACAATGTTATTTCTTTCCTAACCGAAATCAATCTTAATCCCATATAACCCACCCAAAAGTCAATTGTACCATTCTTGTCTTTGGTTCCCACATCCTCAATGATAAAGCACCACAATATAAAATGAATGTAAGGACTGTAGAAATGAGTTTACACCAAAATATACTTCAAAATGGAAACGTGAAATCAAAATAGAAAAAACCCTCACTTACCACTACCTCAAACTCACTTATGAGAAAGCTAAAAAATGGAAATGCTCACGGATGATGCAAAACCCCTATACTTCACAGGCGGCACAAATTGAAAAAACCTTCAACTCCACAACCACCAGAAACCTGCACAACCACCGATTGGGAGCGGCACAATGATGTTAAACCTTCACACCCAACAATAACCTCCACAGCCATCGATTTAAGCAGCTCAAAAACAGAAATGAGAATCAAGGGCACCAATGAAGAAGATGGAGAACAATGCGTGAGAGAAAGAAAACGGGATTTTCGAATGAAGAGCGAAAGAAGAACTAAATCGAAATTTCGCTTTTTACCCTTTTACCCTTACCCACTGTGCAATTCTTTTTCAAAAATGCTGACGTGGCCCGTGTCAAATGAGCGTAAGTGACACGTAGGCGTGTCACCGTATTACTACTCACGTGGATGTAAAGTAACTTTAATAGATGAAATGCCTGGTGAGATTGCAGGAATCAAGGTTCTTTTTCATACCATCTTCAGAATTATTTACTTTAAAATTATTTTGCAATTTTCCAAAAAGTCTTGCATTCATGACCCAGGGCCACCTTCCTCTAATGTGACTATTGTTTTTTATTTTCTACTGTTATGTTCCATGTTGCTTAATTTGGATAGCATTTAAACTTCAAGCAAGATTCCCAATAGGAATCCATTTCCATTTATAGCTTCTAGTTCAACATAGATTTAGCCTTTGACATTTCTTGCTTTATGTTATACTTTCTATTGAAGGGGACTGCTAGTTTGTGAATATATGGGTCTACTTGCTTTTTTAGCGAGCTACATTAAAGTAGAGTGGCGACGAGGAGAATAAAACGAATAAAAATTCATATATAATCTTGTTGGGGTTTCTACATATTTATAAGGTTTTTCTTGTGATCAAAATAAATTCATAAACTATAAATTTGACATAATGAGGAGCGAAACATAATGATGTAAGACTATGTTACTATAATAGTGATGGGAGAACAACAGAAAGAACATGAAAGTTATTATTTGTAGGCTGAAGAGTTGAATTATGATAAAATTGCAGGTATTTGCATATGCATTGATGAGTGTTGGATCTACTGCATCTAGGGTCTAATCACCTAGGTCAGGTTGCTTATTAGGTTTGTTCAATTCTAATTCACACAATAACTCCTCCATATTGAATTAGGAGAAAAGCATGGATTATTTGAATGTGAATTAAGTTCTAAGAAAATTTTGGTTAAAGCAAAATGAAGGGTTATCTGTTAATTTGTTTTGGATTTAAGCATCAGGCTGATATACTTGTTTTCTTTATGCAGATTATCATTGTCTACAAACTGCAAAATGGTATTGATATCGATATGGGTGCTTAAGGCTTTCAACTATAGCAGACCTTAGAGGTTGTTATCTTAGTCTCTCTGAGCACATCCAAGATGCTTTTGTAAACATTTAGACACTCTAGTTTTTTGGTTTTTAAATTATTTCTGCATTTCTATTCATATAGAGAAAAATGTTGTTTCTACTGATTGTCTCTATTAAGTGCTTAATTCAAGCTAGCTTAGCACTTGACTCATGATATGTTGATGGCAACCCTTGATAGCTAATGGATATGTTTGTAGGATATTATTATTATTATTATTATTATTGTTGTTGTTGTTGTTGTTGTTGTTATTGTTGTTGTTGGTATTAATTTTATATCTCCATAAACTATGAACATTATAGGAAGAAAAATAATAATAATAAAAAAATAATAGAAAATTGTAAAACCGTTAAAAAATAATAGTTAATGTACTTTGATATTACTTAAGAAAGAACGCTGTAAATAAAAATGGATTTATTAGACCTAAGAAAAAATGCCATAAATTAAAGAAAGGTAGAAGTTGTGTGAGGCATTCAATGCAGTGTCAGCATGCATTTTAATTTGGGGAGATACTGCCTCGGTTCAGTAGGAACCGAGGCAAAAAGTCATTCGAGAAAAAAAATATAAAACAATATAAAAACTGTACTGTCTCGGTTGTTTATGAACCGAGGCAAAATCCTACCTCTTTTTGCCTCGGTTCAGAATCGAGGCAAAAAGCCTACCCCATTTTGTCTCGTCAGTATATACTTCGGTTGCGGAACCGCTGTCTATAAACAAAAATAACCGTTGTCTTTTTCCTTAACTGTAGTGATATCAAGTTATCTAAACAACTTGATTGGTCATCTAATACACAACACTTGATTCAGAACGATTAATATAATCATTTTCTTACAACATATATTTTCTATTACTCAATCATCTAATAATATATTGTATTTATATTATTGTTTAATTAATTATAATCATAAATTGTTATTATATTATTGTTTAATTAATTATAACCAGTTACGTTATAAGGAACCTACAAATAATATGATTATACCCATAAAGAGTTCATACATGCTTATATTTCACAACGATTTTTTTCCTTTAATGTTCTCTTTCCAAATTGGGTGTGTATTTTTTTCAACTATGTGAATTACAATTGGTTTTTGTCTTTCACGCATTCATGAATAACTAATTAATATACAAATAACAATTTCTTGTTACATTTTGTGCTTACCTTTCCTTATGTATTCTTGTGCTTGTGCTTCGAGTGTACGCTAGAAAAAAAATCTAGCATTCTTACATGTTTATGGTGGATTTTTTATCAATTTATCCAACACTTTACAACGAACACATTAATTTTCCTTATCACAATATCTATCATGGAGATTCTCATTATTGCAATGCCACCTCTTCTGAACACTTGTTTACCATTTTGACTAACTAGCATGTATTTTTATACTTTAAAATTTTAAAAAATAGATCAGTTGATAAAAACTAACAAAATACTTCATATATCAATCAAACGTTAATATGTTACCACAAAGTAAATCCTTGATTAATAGTCTTAATATTATGATAATAAAAAATATACATGATAAGTGTTACGATAATGATAATTAATGAATGTCATTACAAAAATAAAGACCACAAAGTTGAAAATTTATTTTGGATTAACGATATATATATATATATATATATATATATATATATATATATATATATATATATATATATATATATATATATTAATGAAATGGTAGCAAATCATGCTTTCTAACTCATTTTTTCTAAGAAATTATCAATATTAACATTTAAAAATTATTAAAAGCTAAAAGATCATAATCGTGAATAATTAAATCAGAAATAAGATTCATCAAGCCACCTAATTTTCAATAAATCTTTGTCAATAATAGAGTATTGAAAATATTACGTTAGAGAGATTATTATATATCATTTTTAGATGATCGAGTCCCTCAGTTAAAATTAATTACGAGTTCATATTACAAAATTAAAAGTGTAACTAATTAAATAAAGGTGGGACTCGCACAAAATTAAATAAGGGGCAAGATTTTCACAAGTTTTCGACTTCCAAGAAAATTCGTAAAGATTATGTTAAAATTTTAGGGGCTCTTAAATTGAACAAAACCATTTCAATAGTCATACCTAAAAAAATATTGTGATTTCTTTAGATTTTGGCTGTGAAAAAATGAATCAAATTAGATATTATAGTTAATTTGTGTTTTCTAATTTTTATATAAATCTCATCATCTTACGTTAAGTCACAAATGAATTTTGATACTGATAATATATGTACTGGACAATGTTTATATTTAATTGGATCGGATTATTTTAATAAAAAATAAACTCTATTAAACTTGTACCTAAGACGTAAAATTCAGTTAGAATTTTCTAAACGTTAGAGTGATTTTTATAAAAATTAAGATTTTAACTTCATAATTTACGTTGATTTTTAAGTAAAAAATAGATGATCAGCATAATCTGTTAAAAATGAAAATAAAAAAAATAAATTATGTGCCTAAGAAGGAAAGCACATGTACCACGCTTGCGAAACAACCTATCCGTTACCCGTTTTCGCAAAGGAAATGAAAGGTCCTTTATCCAAAAACAAGAAAGAAGGTCGGAATGAAAGTCAATCGCAGCAGTACGTGCAATGCACGCGTGCGGGTGAGAGAGGAGTATAAGATAGCCGCCTGCACCTGCAAAGCAGAGTAAACAAACCTGAGCATAATACGGAGCCTGAGGTTTAAGAAAACACTTTACCTTTTATTCTATTATATTTTCTTTTCTCTTCTTCCTTAGGGTTTTAACGCTAGGGTTTCAGTGTTTCACTCTATTCTTCTTTTACTCTGTTTCTTTTTCTCTCTCTCGGCATAGCCATGGATAGGTACCAGAAGGTGGAGAAACCAAAGCCAGAGTCTCCTATCAACGAGAATGAGATCCGAATCACGACTCAGGGCGCTATTCGCAACTACATCACCTACGCCACTTCGCTTCTTCAGGTCCTTTGATGTTCCGTTACCGTTTGGTGAATGAGTCGATGATTCCGCAGAATGAGAAACCCTCGCATTTTCCGCTGATTGGGGTTTTCTTCAAGGGTTGCATTTCCGGGCTTTGGGATTCTGTTTTGTTTATTTTTTCTTTTGGTTGTTCGCTGAATGCTGGTGTGTCGGGGTTCGATTGATTGGGTTTGGTTTGTGATTGGTGGCATTTTTGTGTTTGCGTTTCCTATGTTTGGCTTTTGGTTATGGAAACCCTTTATTTGTGATAGAATGCATTTTCTGTGGGTTGGGTGTGGAGATTCTTCAGGTTGTTGGCTATATGCTTTGATATGATATTTTTGTTTTGTTTCTGTATTTGGGGTTTGTGTTTTGGTGATCGATGATCTATTTGTCATGTTTTATTATGATGATAACAAACATGGGCGCTTACATTTCGTGATTGTGGAATGGGGTGATGTACGATGCACGTGTTCTGCCTGTTGATCCATGACTGATTTATATTGGCAGTTATTCCGTGCAATAGGAAAAGTCAAGGTTTGACGTAGCGGTTGTTTGGCATTTGCCAACATTGTGGGAAAATGTTACTTATGCGGCTTCTATTTTAGGTTGCTATCCTATTGCGGAGGCCTTCAAAGTCATATTATTGTGGCTTCAATTTGAAGGCTTAGGGGAAGTACACTAAAAGCTGCTACGGATATGGAACTAGGATTTTTTTTTCTAGGATTTTGTATATGAGCCTAGCTTTTGAAACGATTTAAGTATGCTAAAACATGTAAACAATCGTATACCATTGAAGCTCTTTGTGGCTGGTGGCCGCAATGGATTTTCAGTCCGGAAGCATTTAGAGCTCTTGTTCGTCAATTGCATCCTTTCAGAGCTCTTTGCGATGCTATTGAATCCTTTCTGAAGCCTATTTTGCTTCCACTGACTTTTTCCACCATATTATTTGTTTTAAATTATTTTTGTAGTATCTCCAGCATATATTGCACCGTAAAACCTTGAAGCCTTATGTTGTTCGTTTTTCTCCCCTATTCACATTAAATCGAACTGCAGCAAATTTCATCCATCGAGAACTCAAGCTCACTTATCCCCCTACTATATATGGCCAATCCCAGCATTATCTGGTCTCTACAACCCTACTGATTGCTGCCCCCATACTATTCAAAATCCACCAAGCACACTCTATTACCCTCTGTTCCTTTACTCAACCCTTGCTTCTATTATGTTTCTCTAAGATTTCATCTTCTTAATTACGGATGTATTCAATTGTGCGTGTTATTTATGTGTGCGTGTATATATACAGACCCAGAATTTAAATGAGAATAGTATAAAATTTATGTGTGTTGTTTGTCAATTAGAAAGTTATGCTATAGAAGTATCAGGACTGGAAATCAATATGTTAAATGTTAATGCTCATGATGGGATTCGCAGCATAGATCAACCAATGCCTTTGAGTCCTGTCAGATACGGAATTCACAAGATCAAATTGATATTTTTTGCACTGGTGCCTTTGTTGGTTCTCTAACGTTACCACACTTTCTATTATGAGTTAATATGATCTTCTCATCTATAGGTGTTATTCCACATTATTCTGATTGAATTTGTAATCTTGTTTTATCTTTATTTTACTTCCTCACTCAACATTTTCACTTTTGTTGTACTAATAACAATGTTTTATTCAAATTGTCCAATTCAATCTAATAAATAAGTGTAACAATTCCAATCCGAAGTTCAATTAGAAATCTTCTGTAAATTGTAATCATGATGGTTGGATTCCACAGTGCCATTAAGTGCTTTAAATTGTTTCGTCAGATCCAACCCAAGCTGCGCCACAACTGACAGAACATTTAGTTTGTTGATGTCTTTTTCACCAATGAGCATATATGATCATTTGAAAATTCACCTAGCGCATAAAAGAATCTGTTTGCTGTGCTAGTTTTCCAATCCTCTTTAAAATGATATCATTTCTCCACTGTCCAACTCTCTTGTTCACATGTCATAGTTTAATATTGTTGCATTATTAACATCATTAAAATTTTGCTCAACATTCATGCATGTTGCTTTATTTTATGATTAATGAAAGTTGTATATCATTTTGTTAACCTGTTATATGAAAAGTTTCATTTTCCATTCAAAAACAACATTTTCAGTTAGTTTATCTCACACATTTATGTTTATGATATTAGTTTGATTGTGAGCACTTTTTCCTCAAGTTATATTGTGAAAATTTATTGATTCAAGCTTTACACACTTTTTAAACGGACAAAAATTATAGTTTTGGTTGACTTGAAGCTTGTGATTGGCCTGTTAGTTATAAAAATTGACTTGGTTGTTGTAGTAAATATAATCTGTACGAGTTATTTTTAAGTATATTTGTTGTGTATGCATAAATCTTGAATGACTAAAACTATTTACACTCATGTGCATCTCTCCATGTTTTTTTATCATGGTTGCCACCCTTCAAGTAATTGTACCTGTTATACATGCTTATGCTTTCCTTATTGATTTCTGTTGTAATTTATCCAGGAAAAGCATGCAAGAGAGATTGTCTTAAAAGCAATGGGACAAGCAATCAGCAAGACAGTTGCCATTGCAGAGATTTTAAAGGTTACTTTTCCTTGAAAGACGTCCTTCTTGTGTTTCTTGTATATACTTTGAAATGCATGCAAATTACTGTCAGGGATATCTTGTCAATTATAGTTGAACACAAAAAAATTGCAAATAACCCTAAATTAATTGGCTATGAAAATTGGAAAGTTACCAGGCATATAAATCTATAATTACTTGTTGGTTGAAAGTTATTATAATATAATCTAGAGGATATATGAGATACATTAAAATTGAGGTTGGTTTTCATCGCTGGCTCTCATCTTAAACAGAAGAGAATTCCCAGGCTGCACCAAGATACTGGCATCAGCTCAGTTAGCATAACAGATATGTGGGAACCCATTGAAGAGGGTCTTGTACCGTAAGTGTTATATGAAGTTTTAATCTGCATGCATCTTTGTATGTTTGGTGGCTTAGATTGAACTTCTACTTTTAATGCAGTGTGGAAATGACTCGACATGTATCTATGATCTCAATCACCTTATCAGCTAGAGAATTAAACAAAAATTCTCCTGGGTGAGTTTTGAACAAAATTGGGGCCGTATTTTCAATCTTTTTTGTTTGGTTGAGTTATTGCCTGTGAAAAAATGGTCTTTCTAGACGATTTTGTAGCCTATATTTGGAATCCTCTTCTGATTGTTTGATCTGACAAATCTGGGATGTTTTCTATACGATTATGTTTGCAGGTATCAAGCTCCAAGTAACGTGGAACAACCAAAGCCACACACTAATTATCAGCAGCAACCTATAAAACCAGCACGTGTTCCATATAATGCTTTAAATGAAGGTGCTCTGGATATAGCTACTACAATAATTAATAATGAAAATGTTAAATACAATAATTTCTAACTTTCAGCACATGTAATATCTTAATATAGATTCATATGGGCGAGGACGAGGTCGGGGTCGGGGGAGAGGAAGAGGAAGGAATTGGGGAAGGGGTGGTTATGGCTACCAAGGTGGTTATGGAAATTATCAAGGTGGATATGGATACTACCAGGGGGGTTATGCAAATTATCAAGGTATTATCCATTCTGCTTACGGAGTTGTAATGCGTTGGTTCATATTATTTTTGGTGGTTTATATACTTTACATTATTTTGGGCATTTCATTTACTTTGCTTGTTCATTTTAGTTTTGGTTGTTATATGCCTGTTTTTTAATTAGAATTTTTATTTGTGCTTTGTCCACTGCCAGATAATGGGGGTTATTCAAACCGGGGACGAGGTGGTGGGCGAGGTAGAGGTTGGGGTTATCGTGGTAAGTTTAATTGATACTTATTCTCCCCATATTTTGTGATGATGTGTTCTGAGGTTTTCCATCTATGGTGATATAACGAGCAAATGTTCTGGGTTTATTTTCTTCTGTTGTCTATGGATAAAGAATATTTCTACTCTTCACCTAGTCTTGTGTCAATGCCTGAAGTATGTGCTTTTCGGATCGATCCCATCATACAGGAAAAACTTGTTATAAATTTTTAAGGATGTAGGCCTGAAAGATACTCGCCCAGGTTTAATCTGATCCTTCAATTGTGGCATTTTGCAACAGGTACAGGTTATGATGGTGGCAGGGGTGGAGGTGCAGGGTATGAGGGTGGGAGGGGCGGTGGTTATGAAGGTGGGAGGGGTGGAGGTGCAGGGTATGAGGGTGGGAGGGGTCGGTGGTTATGAAGGTGGGAGGGGTGGGGTTTCGGTATGAAGGTGGGGGAGGTGGTGGATGAGGTGGCTGGTTATGAAGGTGGCAGGGGTGGTGGATATGAAGGGGGGAGGGGTGGTGGTTATGAGGGTGGGAGGGGTGGTGGATATGAAGGTGGCAGGGGTGGTGGATATGAAGGTGGCAGGGGTGGTGGATATGAAGGGGGGAGGGGTGGTGGATATGAAGGTGGCAGAGGTGGTGGTTATGAAGGTGGCAGGGGTGGTGGTTATGAAGGTGGCAGAGGTGGTGGGTATGAAAGAGGCAGAGGTGGAGGAAGGGGTTATGGACGGGGCAGGGGCCGAATGGGTGGACGTACAAGGGGTGGTGCAAACCAGGCATGATTGCGAAGGGTGCTGTTGTCATTCTTGCTAAATGCTTGCCTTGACAGTGGGGTTAATGTTTTAAGAATACTGTGTTGATAGTGTGATGTGGCTCATGATCCAGCATTATTAGGCAGTATTTTATGTTTCATTTGTCATGAAATTGAAATGGGCAAGGTTTTGTTCATCTTTAGATTTAGTTGCAAAGCATCTTGGTTATGATTGCTGTAATTCATTTCAACTTTCATGGTTGCCAACACCATATTTTTATCTGTATCTGGTTTATATATGGTTTTTATTTTAATCAAAAGTAGCTTTTTCTTTGATAAACTTGCGGGGTTCAAATAATATATGCCTATGTTTTACGTAGACAGCCTTCATGTACGCTGGAGATTGTAAATTGTGAATTCCATCAGTGCATAAGGAGTTTAAGATTCATAGTGCTTGGAAGTGATATGTTATTAATGTTACTCATTAATGTGAACAATAATGTTGATAATGAAAACAGTACTGTTTGAATTACAGGTGCAGTCAATTTTTATCGAATGTTAAATTATTTGTAACTGAATGTTTTTTCAATTTAACTGTTAAATTACAAATTTATATTATGTTATTTATCTATGTTTAGTTTAATTAAACTAAATAGCTGACACATTTATTAAATAATTCATATTTTAGTCTATTCTAAAAAGATATGTATTTAGTCTTATTTTGATAAATTAACGATATCTGAATTCAAGTCAATTTCCTCACGCATTAAAGATACTATTTTTCCAACATCTTGAGGAGAGTCATGAGGCTCATGATTAGCCTTTATCAGCGTCAACATGTGGGCATTCTCAAGGAACAAGTAAATACAAAAGGAGTTAATGTAATATAAAAGGATATTGTTTGACATTATCTTTTAAGTTGGATATTATTTGGATATTTGACATTGTTTTCTGGATGGATGGAAATTAACTGGGCACTAAAACTGAAGTAAAAATATTTTTTGTATCGATGTTTTGTTGGTGAGATTTTTGAAGAATACTTTGGTGGTCGTTGCTTGGTATTTGAGGTGTCTTTGAGTCGTTATGGTTTTGTGGAGTTCGCTGGTTTTGCATTTACTTCTTAAGGTCAATGGCACATGTGACTATTTAATTAATTGTGATGTTTCTTTCACTGCTTAACGAAGAGATTAAATATTTTATATTTAGGGTTTTTGTTGGCTTGAGTAATTATGAGTTCTGTGATTTTAGTTCACTTTGTCACACATGGAAATACTTCTGGTCAATGATTCATTGTTTGTCAGTGTACGTGGCATTAGTTTTATTTAAGGATGATAAAAGATTCGAGATCTAATCTATAATAATTTAAATTTATATTATTTTAAGTTTATTTAAATGAATTTATTTCAAACTTAAATTTATATTTTTAGATTTAGAATTTAATTTATTTGAATTTATATATGGATAATATTTTTGAATTTTAAAAAAATCAAAATTTTAATTTACTTAATTGGATTTGACTTTGATTTAGATTACATCATTTTATGGAATTTTAAAAATTTAAAAATCAATGTGAGTTTAAATCGAGTCAATGCCATTGAAGATCGATTGGAGTTAGTTTTGATTGAATGTTGGCCAACATCGGTCTCATTAGAAGGTCATCTTAAATATGCCTCTACGAAGGTGATCCCAAAGGGAAGTCATCTCGAGTCAGTTCTGATTGTATTTATGTCGTCCTAAGACGAAGGTCGGCTCAAGTTGGTCGAGGTTGACATGACCAAGACCAAACATTAGCTAAGTTGACCCTGACTGAAGATCTCTTCGAGTCACGGTTCAAGATAAGTTCAAGTGGTAATTGGTAGAGGGTCGGCCCGAGTTGTCCCTAATTGAGGGTTGTCTAGAATAACTTCTAATCGAAGATTGACTCAAGTCATCTCGGACTGATTATTGACCCGAATCGTCCTTAATAAAGGGTTGGGTCGAGTCGTCCTCGGTCGAGGGTCGACCAAGTCATCCTCGACCAATGGTCGACTTGAATCCTTTTTGATTGAGGATTGGTTTGAGTCGTCCTTCACAAAGAGTCGGCCCGATGCATCCTTGACCTAGGGTTGGCCTAAGTCATTCCTAACCAAGAGTCGACTTGAATCATCCTCGACCGAGGGCTTCATTGATTTAAATAATTTTATTGTTTTGTTTAGTTATTAGTTGTTGCATTATTTGATAGTTTTCTTGTTGCATGATTAGATTTAAATTTTGTCATAATTGCATGATGTTTGCATAGTTAGGAAGCTTGTAGAATAAAAGAAAGATTAGATCATTCTAGAAGGATTCGCAAAAATTTGACAATGAGTGCACTTTCAAATATCTAACTAAGCCTACAACTCAAGCGGTAGAGTTGGCACTTAAGCCGCCACTCGCGGGTGAGAAACAACGAGTTTAAAAATTTTAACTTTGAAAGGCTAACTGATGGTGCATATTTATGCTCACATTTTAGACTTAATTTCAAATTTTTAGTGGAATAATTGTGCTTAAATGTTTGATTTGAATAAGATTTGTGATGATTGACTTTATCGGGTTTGCCGAATTAAAGAGGTTTAAAATGTGATTTTAGTTGCAAAAATTATTTTGGATGGTCTAATGTTTGTTGATGCAACTGGAATTAAAGTTTTAATTGCAATTTTGAAAAGAAAGAAAAGGCTAAGTGCAATTTTAGGAAATTTCTGAACTTCTGTTCAATTTTGAATGAAATAAAAAGGGTTGAAATGTAATTTTGAGCAAGTTTAAATCTGTTAGATATTTTAAAAGATAATTTGGAGAAAATATATCTTAAGATATTTTATTTGATATTGTTAAATAATTACCTTATTTAACTATATCAACAAATATTAAAAGATAATATTTGCTAAATCTTTTTGAATCTAGAAAAGATATTATCAAATATTCTCAAAAACCGATTAAATTTATTAAATATTTGGAAGATATTAGATATAAGAAAAAAGATCTTATCAACAGAAGATTCTGAGTCCAAGCTCAATCAAGCCTATATAAAGAGACTCAAGGGATGTAGAAATCATAACTCATTCATTCTCTCAGATTCCTCCTTGGAAGCAAGCATCCACCATTCTTCTCACTTTTATTTTACCATGTGTTTCACTCCCTTCATGGACGGCTACGCTTCTAGGACTATTCCACTGTAATTTCATTATGGATTATGAGGTTATGTTAAATTAATGAATTTGTTTCTTTTGATTATTGATTTGAGTTATTCTTCTTCTATGTCTTTCATCTCTAAATCATATTAAAAGAAATGATTTTTGCATCATAAGGTGTTTGAATCTACATGCATATTAATCATATGAGTTCAAGGGTTTATAGGTTTGACTAAGAATGTACTTTGATTGAATTTAGGATCTTTCATACGATTAGAAAGGTCTTGCATTTGATTGAGAATCTACTTTGGTTAATTACATGATCGCCCTCAAATTAATTAAGAATGTACTTTAATTAACTTTAAACTTGAACAATAATCAATTGAGTAATGGTTTGTGGATAACCAATAATGAATCTATCTTGGAAAAATAGTGGAATTATCCTATTTCATCATTATCTTTTCTAAGTTTCCTCTTTGTTCTTCAAACATTCTACAAATATTAACTCCATTAGCATAGTTTCTCACTTCTATTCTTGAGCATTGCATAACATTCATAAGAGTCAAATATTGAAAAGCATATTAGTTGGGAGACAACTCAGGGTTACTTTAATCCTATCTACTTTCTTGACTACTGACTTGACAATACTGAAATTGCCTTAAAAAATAGTATTAATTTGATAGCTTGAATGACAGCGTATCATTAACCCTTATATAAAATGTTTCATTTAAAACCCACTACTCACCTATACCACTCTACTCATTCTCAGACTCTCTAAAACCCTCCAGAATCCTGTTAATCTTCATTCCACTACCTTCTCGAATCATTTTGCTCTCATCATCTCAGTTTTTTCATTTGCATTCATCTAGTATGTACAACTTGATCATTTAATTTTCTTTTAACTTTTTTTTTCATACATTAGGGTTCGTTCTTGCCCCAACTTGCGACTTAAATACCCCTTTTATGGAACTACATTCGCATGTTGAATTGTGTTAATAAAGTGATTATGAAGCATTATATATACTTATCATTTCAAAGATGAAGAATAATCAAGCACAAAGTTTTTCCATAAAGATTTGAACTCAGTGCTTGCATGTCAATTTTGTGAAAAACTAAAGTGTTTATGGATGCTCTGTCTCTTATTTCAGATTAAAGTTACGATGGTTACATATTAAAGCATGCATCAGAAGTTTGTTTTAGTGCTGAAATTGTCAAATTCAATGAATAATATGATGATGCATGTTAAGTCTGTTCTTGTTACGCTCACTCATCCTTGTTAGACATTGCGTTCACCTAGGAGAGTTCTTCCTTTATCCGGTAGGTTTTGTAGTCCTGTAAATTGATCTACAAACTCTCTTCTCTATTCGTCCCCTAAATCCCCAAATCCCTAAATTCCTCTATTCTTTCTTGTGATTGAAACAAAACGCTCTACCGTGAGTTTCATCGTGATTCTTAGCACAAAATCTTGCATCGTCAGAAGATTGAGATTGAGGCAAGGGCATTGCGTTTAGGGAAGATTGACTAGATTATGTTTTATTTGTTGACACTTCTGTTGTTGCTTCAAAATATTAGTCGAGAGGAATATCATAACTCAATTGCATGCTTTCAGAAAAATGAGCATGTCAAGTCAAAGAAAGAAAGAGACAAGAAAGAAGATAAACCCAAATTCACGTAAAGAAGGATAATGTGCTTGCGCTAACTATTCAAAAGCAAAGAGCATAAAGAAGTAAGTCATTTTTAATTTTTTTTAAACGATGTTCTAATTATGTGGTTCTCGTTTGATTTGCAATTTACTTCATTATTAGAAGACATTTTGTTGGACCCCTCAAGCTTATTTCTCATGGTTTTGAAACTTGTTCCATTTGGAGCATTATTTTGGGAATCATATTGGAATGCTTTTCTGTTAAATTTTGAACACATTATAAACCTACTATTAATTGACATGGTTAATTACCAGTTCATTTTGTATGTCACAAGTTCTCCACTTGGCCTAATTTAATAATTTTTTATGCCATTTAGGTTGCAAGTTGGGGAGTATATCTTCTGTCACGAGACATTTTAGTAGTGTCATTTGCACCAAGAGATACATATGAAGCTCAAGTTCAATTTGCTCTTGAAAGAGGGGTTCCTGCATTGATTGGAGTTCTTACCTCAATTAGGCTTCTTTACCCTTC